GTGAGCTGGGACTGTGTCACAGTCTTCAGAAGGGGTCTCATGACCCCTGGGCAAATTTAGAACACTTATTGACACATTTTTTAGTTCTTAAGAAAAAAAAAATTTGCATAGCAAGATACCTGTTTCTCTATTGAGAAACCCCACCCTGACAGAGTGTATGTCTCACCCAAGCTGTGGGAATGTGGTAGCAGACAAGTCATTGACACCAAGTATAGATATTGCCTAAGTTGGACACATGAGCAGTGTGAGACCCACCTGCTGTTGTAGCCTCGGGTATGTCACGACGGTGTCACCTGGTTCCAGGGCCCTTGTGGGGCAGTGAGCTTCATGCCGGTTTCCAGGATGCTAGGTAGCAGTTTGTTCAAAGATGGCATTGCACCAATGTTTCTGGTAAAACTTCATTTCCTCTGCTATGGGCTTTGATCTACCTCTGTGTTTCTTGACACAAGTTGTAAGGGGCGGTGGGCATGACTCTACAGTCTGGGCTTCTCTTCTATGAATGTGTTGGGAGTCATTTCATTTTCAAGACAAAAGCAACTTAAGAAAAGGTTTACTCAGACTTACAATTTGAGAGTAGAATCAGTCCACTGTGGTGGGGAAGGCTTGACATCAGGGTCTTGGGGTATCTGGCCCATTGTATCTGCAGTCAGGAAACAGATCGATTAATGCTGGTGCTCATCTTGCTTTTTCCTTCTTACGCAGTCTGGTCCTTCCTCCACTTTTCAAGTGCAGGGATTACAGGTGTGCACTACCATCATCCTAGGTTTATGTGATGCTGGGGATGGAGCTCAGGAACTTCATTCATGCTAAGCAAGTATTCTACCAGCTGAGGTGCATCCCTATCACCTTGATCTTTCTAGTTGTTTTTGTTTTCTTTTAGTTTTTGAGACAGGGTCTCCCTATATAGCCTAGGCTGTCTCTCAGACCCTACAGCCCTCCTGTCTTAGCCTCCTAAGTTCGTCACCACGACTAATTTAAACATGCATCTTCTATGAGACATTATAAAAGGATTGTAAGGCCAGAGTTTAGATGGGAGTGGAGATGGGGGTTCAGTTAGTGTCCTCTGTGGTATGGAGAGGGAAAGATGGGGGTCTGTGATGGTATATCGGTCAGTCTGACAGTGGGGGAAGGGGCTGTAGCCATGTGTGTGGAGTCTCGGGTGAGTGGAAGGCTTAGGTCTGGCAGCCGTCCTAGGCCAGCAGCTTTCCTTAGGGTTGCGTCTAAGTATCCTTGTGACATTGGTCATTTCCAGTAGTTAAACAAGCCAGTCATTCAACTTTTAAAGTTGTAGTTTCATGTTACTAGATCAAAAATTCATAAGAATTTAACAGTATTGATTATATTGGTTTTTTTTTTTTTTGAGTATATTGTTTTAACCTAAAAATTGTGGTTAATGTGAAGTAGATTGCAATTTCTTTGCAAGTAAAAAGTTTCTCAAGAAAGCTTCATGGGTTTTAAAAAAAATGTATTTAATTTTGGAGATAGGATCTCATGGAGCCCAGGCTGACCCAAATCTCACTATGCAGCTAAGAATGTTGTTGAACTTCTGATCCTCTAACCTCCAACTCCCAAGTGTGCTGAGATTATAGGCATACTACACTGGTTTACCTGATTCTGGGGTTTGAACCCAAGGCTTCATGAATGGCAAGTGGTCAACCATCTTAGCCCCATACCCACCCTCCATATGGAATTAACAGCTGCTCTTTGATTAGAACAGATAGTATCTTTAAAAAACATTTTTTAATTACAAATTTTCACTTTTAGCTTTTACTATATTGCTGGGTAGTGGCGGCTCATGCCTTTAATCCTAGCACTTGGGGGGCAGAGACAGGCGGATTTCTGTGAGTTTGAGATCAGCTGGTCTGCAGAGTGAGTTCTAGGACACCCAGAGCTGTTACACAGAGAAACCCTGTCTTGAAAAACCAATAGATAGATAGATAGATAGATAGATAGATAGATAGATAGATAGATAGATAGACAGACAGACTGTGTTGTATGTGTGGGTGTTTTGCCTTCATGTATGTCTGTACACCACATGTGTGTCTGGTATCTGAGGTGGCCAGAAAAGGGCTCTGGGTGCCTTGTAACTGGAGGGTTGGTGATTATCACCTGCCATGTGGGTGCTAGGAGCTGAACCCTGGTCCTCTGCAGAAGCAACAAGCACTGAACCACCTCTCCAGCCCTAGACAACTGGGCATCTTGAGAGCCTTTTGCTTTCCCTCTTCTTTGCTACAGGAGACCTGATCATTACATAAATTTTTGAGTAAAGATGTACAGATCCAAAGTTCTAATATCATTATCTACCCCTCAAAAAAGAGCTTCTGTGTACATGTGCACACATGTATATAATAAGGGTATGTTTGTATGTTTTTGTGAAAAGTTACCTTTATACCTGGCATCTGCTACCTGTGGTGTGTTTTGTATTAAATTAAAAACCTAGTCTTGTGGCACATACTGGTCATCCAGCTATTGAAGGAAGCTGAGGCAGTAGGATCTTTAGTTCTAGGACATCCTGGAGTAAATAGTGAGTTCAAGACTAGTCCAAGGAACTTAGTGAGACCCTATCTTAAAATAGCAGTAAAAACGGGGCTGAGGGCATGTGGTTCAGCATCAGAGTGCTTGCCTACAACCCCTCAGTGATGGGGGGGGGCGTTACTCAGGGATAAAATGCCTGCCTAATATGCACAAGGCCCTGGACTCAGTCTCCTTTAATATAAAATAAAATAAAGCAAACTGAAAATGCTTTACGTGCAGTGGATCTTTGCTTCATAAAGCTAGCTTAGGGGACTTAAGAAAAAGGAAAGGAAAAAAAAAAAGGAAACCTAATTTAATAGTTATCAGTTTAAAATACTCCCCAAGGTGGTTTGTGCTGACAGTTAATCATTTTGTAGATATTTATGGAGTGCCTTCCATGTGCCAGACAGTGGGTCCTGGGGAGCAAATCCTATCCCTGTTCTTCAGAATTTCTTATCTCTTCCACCAGGCAGTAGACCATGGCCATGTGGCAAGCTGGGTTCGTGGATTCCCATAGCTGAAGTCTTTCCTTGCACCATACACACGTTCTCGTGACAGTATTCTCTGTATGAGCCACAGATGGCTCAGTAATCTTCCGTGTAGATAAACACTTCTGCTTTTTTTGAGCCTTGTTAGAGCCATGTCTTTCCTCTCTCTCTCTCTCTCTCTCTCTCTCTCTCTCTCTCTCTCTCTCTCTCTCTCCTTCTCTCTCTCTCTCTGGTTGGTTGTTTTTTTTTTTTTTTTTATTTGTGTGTATGTGTGTGTGTGTGTTTGTTTTTTTTTCCTTGTGCTTTGGATGGGACCACATCCTACACATTCTTAGAGAAGCCATGCCACTGACTGTCTTGTGACTCAGGCCTTGCTTCAGTTCTTGGATGGTTGAATGTGATTGTGATTTCAAAGACTAGATTAGTATCTTCTAGAAGGAGCCTGGGCACTTTGGTTATTTTGTTCAGCTTTGTACTTCATCAGCCATTTTCAGTGGGACAATTAAGAAAAATTAGAGCCATATTCCCAAGGGGTAGCACTGCCATTCTGAAACTGTCTTGGTACATATTTGGACCAAAGCTGGGCTGGGCTGCCCTTCAGACCACTCCTTGATTGTCTTTTCTCACTGCAGTGGGTTTTATCTCAATTTAAAAAAAAAAAAGGGATGTGTGTGTGTGTGTGTGTGTGTGTGTGTGTGTGTGTGTGTGTCCTCGTTCATGTTTGTCCATTCCTGTGTATATAGAGTATAGAGGTGCACGCTTCCCATAGCCTCATGGCATGAGTGTGGGCAACCTATGTTGGTGGTCATCACTTTCCACCTTGTTTGAGACAGTTCTTTTGTTTTATGCTGTAAGAGGTTAGCTGTACTGTAAGCTTCCAAGAATGTTGTTTCTCTGCCTCTTGTTTCAGCATAGGATTGATGGGATTACAGGTGTGTATGGCTGTATCCAGCATAGGATTGATGGGATTACAGGTGTGTGTGGCTGTATCCAGCATAGGATTGATGGAATTACAGGTGTGTGTGGCTGTATCCAGCATAGGATTGATGGGATTACAGGTGTGTATGGCTATATCAGCTTTTTGTGGTTCAAGGGATCCAAACTCAGGTCTACATGCTTGTGAGGCAAATGCTTTGCCCATGAGCCCGTCTCCTACTCCCCCAGTGCATTTTATCTTGGTATTTCTTGTGCACTGGAGATTGTTTACTAAGGGTTCCTAGCCTACTGTGCTCATAGTTTCATGGTGTTGTTTACACATGGCCAGTTTTTGTCTTCAGGAGAAGAGCTCAACCCCAGCCCTGACCACGGAGAATCCCTCATCCATCTTTATTGCCCCCACTAGGGCAAGAGCTCTGGTGTCTGATTTGGTATGCCTATTTTGTGACAGGAAATATTCTCTGTGCCTGCTATAACATAGCAGTTGTTAGTTGGCTTTCATTTTCCAGGGACCAGAATCTTAACTTACCCTTGTCACTCGAGGCCTGTACTCTTCTTTGATTTAGTCCCTCCTTCCCTCCTTCCCTCCTTCCCTCCCTCCCTCCCTCCCTCTCCAAGTTTTCTTGTTGCCTAGCCAAGGCTGGTAATGAATTTTTGGACCTCCTGCCTCCATCTCTCCCTCGGTGCTAGGATTACATGCACCTGGCTGGTTTATGAGGTCTGGGAATGGAGATATGGGGATGAGAGTACACGGCAGGCAAGCATTCTACCAACCAAGTTCTATCCCTAGCCTGCCTTTTATTTAGTCTTTTACAGGGTCTTACGAGCCCAGTTGGTTTTCAGCTTCTACCTCCTGAGTTCTAGGATTGCAGGTGTATGCCTCCACACCCGGCAGATGTTTGCATTCTTGGGCAACAGTTTCAAACTGCTAGGTTTGGGACAGGTCTCTTTTAGGATGTGGAAGGAACTCCTGCACCATGGTAGGAGACTAGATTTATTGATGGTTTCTGTGCTTGTAGGATGTGGGGAAGTACCTCTGCTTTTTGTCTATTGGGAGGAAGA